ACACACACACACACACACACACACACACACACACACACACACACACACACACACACACACACACACACACACACACCTAATCTCAGTTATTAGGAATATAGAAGCTAGGTGAAGATCGTCAAAGCTAGGTTAGCCGCACACCGCGTAACACATAATACTGGTTCGTGGACATGGCGTATGACCTATATTCATGACATAGGTCATCATTGAAGAGGAAGACAAAGAGCGACGACGGAGAAACAACGAGAAACAACGAGAGAGAGAGCGAGAGAGAGAGAGCGAGAGAGAGAGAGAGAGAGAGAGAGAGAGAGNCCTCTCACACTCCCCCCACCCAGTATCACGTAACCTACCCAGATTTACAATGCTCTGCGCACACAAGGACAATAGCAAGAAGCGACCGGCAGCGCATGCGTGAGAGGATGCAGACAGACCCTGACTCCGATTTGCCGGTCAGCCGCATCGTGGTGACCTCTGTGACGTTACGAGTTCTTCATCGCGGGCGCACCCACTGACCTCTATATCTTGGAGCGTGTGCGGTTCCTTTGGCGCGGGTAATTGTCGGGGGTAAATATACGCGGGGAGGCGTGGAAAATGGTCGTGAGGGGGTAGGGGTGGGGTGTGGGTGGGGGAGGGGTGGTTGTACATGCACTTACGGGTGTGAGGCGGAGAGAGCTCGTAACATACCGGCCGCTAACACCGTATATATATATATATATATATATATGTATGTGTGTGTGTGTGTGTGTGTGTGTGTGTGTGGTGTGTGTGTGTGTGTGTGTGTGTGTGTGCGTGCGTGCGTGCGTGCGGCGTCTGGTCTGTGTGTGTGTGTGTGTGTGTGTGTGTGCACGTACACGCGCGCTCGTGTGTGTGCATGCGTAGGTGCGTGTGTGTGCGTGCGTGCGTATACGCCCGCGCGCGTGTGTACATGTATATGTGCATGCGTGTGTGAGCGTGCGTGCGTACGTGCGTACATGTGTATGTGCGTGTGTGTGCGTACGTGCGTGTGAGTATGTGTGTACACGTACGTGCGTACGTGCGTACGTCCGCCGTATAACCTCACAGCTAGATGAACTGTCGTGTGCGTGCGAGACACCTCAAGTG